TCCAATTTCGCCAATTAATACATTACAATACCATTACTCGACCAAGACTCACGCGCACACGCAAAATGGCACCTGGCCAGAACGAAGAACCGGGGGAAACTTTCTTCGTCGAAAACCCAGGAAGAACTTACTATCGAGCCAGAGGATATCAGGAAATCCGTGTTTAATACTAAAAGAGCACGTATACTTCTAGGACGCAATATCTCGAAAGTTCTATCGTGGCATAGCAATGTGGGCCAAACGCAGAACCGGTTGCACCGTATGCAAGTACGTACACATAAGTTGCTACCGTGTTCGCTGCGTTTGACGGAGTGCAGAAAGGTGATCATATCGGGGACTGTGCACGGTACATATATTCATTAGGCGAAGTTTAATGCGAAAAAAAAGAACCGCGGATAACGTTCCAGCATGGATAACGTGTACGAAGATTTCGTGGAAGAAAATTTCCTACGGAAACTCTATTCTTCGCTAGCCTCTAATTTCTTCCGCTGTTTTCTGCATCGTAACGCAGTTCGAATCTGTTCGAGGATCTTTGTCCGAACGATATCCTCGGATAGTCGGTAGATATCAATCGCGAAAATATGCAAAGCGGGATACTTGCGTTGATTTAAGTATTCGTTTATGTCGGCGTGGCGATAAAGTACCGTCGAGTCGTGTGCTGCTATACTGGATTTATGTTTCGGGTAATAAGAAAGTATGAGCGGTTGCGAAATAATGCTTCTTTCATGGATTTTACTCTTTTTCTTCGTATCGTGTATCTTATTATTGAGTTACGTAATTTTTATTATCGCCATTATTGTAAATTGTTGAAAGGAAAATACGTAGAACTTGGAGAAATTATGTGGTGTGATTTTGGTATAGTAAAAATGTATTTATTTATAAATAAATATAGTTATACTATTATAACTATATTGTATAATATTATAGTTATAGTATTTATAAACAAATTATTAGGAAAGATTGGAAATTAAAAATTTTTTGAAATTTGCGTAACTGAGAAATAAGATTTAAATATAAAATACTTGCGAAATTAAAGAACGTTTGGTTGCCGATGATAATGGTAATGGATTGTTTACAATATCGCGTTTTAATGGAGAATTTTATTTTCCTCAATTATCGTTTATTACACTTATTTATCGTTAAATATTGCACGTCAGTATCATAGTTCATTAAAACGAGCTGAAACACGACTTTCTTTGCTTCCTTGCATCGCTTTACCATGCTTTCTAAACTTACAAATGTTTTCTTATGGTTAACTGCGTTAAAGTTAATTACGATTTCCGAGATTACTGAATTCTATCGTTATCGCTTTATTAATTTATTATTGTTTTATTAAACCGCTAATGCCGTGTTACTGACTTCGCTAAATGGCCACTAGAGAATCCCATACATTGCTATTTCACTTTATAGTGTCGGAAATTACAATATTTAGATGATTAAACGATTAGTTATATCTGGAAGATCGCGTTAATTCACTTTTTATTAAACAAGTAGTCGAAACTCTTTAAACTCTCCAAGTTAAAAATAATTTCCCTTGCAGTTTTCTTTGCCTTTTAATTAAACTGATCTAGACGATACTATAAAAAATATTAATATTTCCAAGTATTTTAGAATAATTTAAAAATTAAAAAAATTTAAGACATTTAAAAAATTAAAAAATTCTTAAGCTTCAATTAGTAATAAATTTACGTGTATTTTTATTTTTATACGTATTTTCTCCAAAGGTAATTAATATTTTTAAACATTTTAAATTCAACGTACAAAGTTTTAAAATTCAAAAAATTTATAAAAAGAATAATATTTTTAGACATTTTAAATTATAAATTATAAAT